CGTGATGTTTTATAGCCTATAATCATCCTCAATAAATGCGCTATCCAACACAAAAAGAATTATTCAAATCAGACTTGTAGTTACGGAGTTTAGCGCGTTCAAACAAACAAACAAAAAAACAAACACTTCCGCTTTATATAATACCTCTAGTATAAGAGTGTAAGATAACATTTTAACGCAACGAGCGCTCCTCTGTATGTTAAATATAAGTGTTACAAAGTAATAAAAGTGTTACATTATACAACTACGGAAAACGGAGGCAAAGTCGAAATTCAGCTCCAATGATTGATTGGTTCATTGGAGCCGACCAATTAGAGCGCCGAACGCATGCTCGTTTCGATTACTTTAAACATAAAAAAAATAAACTCATTTATTTATTTATATTTAAGAACACCTTAAAATATCATTACAGGGCCTCATGTACCCTAATGCGACAGCTAAGAACCAAACCAAATATACAATACAAACCAACACCAACTAACAATAATAATATATAAAACCAAAAATAGGAAAAAGCTATACATTATTCAATAACATAATTAAAAATGACATATCATTATTGAAATGATCAAATCTAATAAAAATACATAATATTATTTTACTTATAACACAATATAAATAGTAATACCCTCGCGAATTCACCAAAACAACATGTTAACACATCAATCTGGGTCTGAAGGTCGTTAATGGTACGGATAGCTCTGGTAAGATCTCTCAATAAATGACATTTAAACGCTAATCAATGTCAATGAAAAGTCAATGTTTGCGCTTGACAAAAGTATTAACATTTTTTTAACGTCAGTAGCAATCCTAAACTTTCAATTTAAATGCTATTTGTTTAGAGAAGCATCATGGTACTCCTCATACAAAACCTCTTTACACAAATCGCTACCGCTTATCACTCGTCCCACCCTCCACATATGACGCGTCCGTTACTCAGTGCTACGGGGCTATAATTTGACTCCATCTTAGTTCCTGTTCTAAGGTCTAGCTAGTACGAGCTAGACTGAAGCCTGTCAGTCGGAACCCGTCATTATATACAGATACATAAGTGATAATATTGCGAAATTACATATTGCTATTACATATTTGTTTATATAATTTGTCCGAATGATATTTTATTTGAAAGGTCATATAGTTTCTTTTCCTTGATCGCTGGTCTGATAGGTTACCTGTACATTTAGCGGTCGGAAACGTCTGAATCTAATGTCTTAATCGTTAGGTTTCCATTTTTGTCGTGCATACGCGATGCTGAGTTCTCTCAAAAAAAAACCGCAAGTTAGACAATTAAATACTTATTGCTAAGTAGACCTTCTTGGTCACTACCCAACGATTCCTTTTTAAATCTATCAGTAGTACCTACAATTATTTTTGTCTTTTTCTACAGGACGTACAAATGCAATATCATTTTTAAATCTAGCCAGTTATAGTAAATCAGTATTACTAAAGCCATTGTCCCACAACGACAAGAAACAGAGTACAAATTCCGACGTAATAGACAAAATTTTAATTAGATTGCTATTTTGCTATATACTTCACTGGCTGAACAAGAAGCGAAGTTCTCGTAAAAGGATGTTCGGTCAGCACCCATGAATGCATGCTAACCGTACCTTGAGTGGGACAATCAATAGAACCTCTCTTACTTAACCACAAGTTCCTCTTACACAATAAGAGGGACTTATATTGTACTTATATGTTATTGAATACAATGTAACTTTATCCTTTTCTATAGGAGTCTATGGGACAGTCGGTAGTGAAATAATGACGGTCCTTTATTGATAACATTGAAGGGTAATTTTCCACCTACAAAACGTCATTTGTTCCCAAAGGGATAGGCTTTTTTTTAAGGGGGGAAAATCATCGAATGTCTGCTCCCGCCTGGGTGAGGCGGGAGGGAGTGTCAGACTCTTACTGACTAAAAACCACCCCGTTCCTTCTCCTGCACGTCGAGCCGGAGCCCCGGTAACCCGTTAGGTTCTCCGCGACTTCCCAAAGGGATAGGTTAGGGTTAAGAGACGTATTTTCTCTAGTTATATTATCAAGGCTATCGTAATAATTATGGTGTTCGCAAAACCAAGTCCAATAATGACTGCGCCATATTTAAATTTATTCACCGGTTGCACAGAAAGCCAAATGTTACACAGTCGATTGCAATGTAAGTTCAGTAATTTACAGATTTTCTTTGATACAGTTCCAATTTATAGCTAAAACCACGAAAACAAAATAGCAGTTTTAAACTTTATTCATTGTACCTGCCTCAATGTTTACTTACACAACGTACAATCGACAAAGTTAGCTGTTGGTCATCTTTGGGCGATATTCGCATTCGCTCGGCGCGAGCGACCACAGGAAAACACGCGGTAGACAACGAGATTGCCACAGGATATTGTTTAAAAACTATACTTACTACCGTCAACTTGCCGATAGTACTTGCCTACCTATATTTAGCTACTACGAACCAGGAAATAGAAAGCAATCTTGAATTTCTCGATAATTATACTAGATAATGTAAATTTAACACCTACGTCGTTTAGCATAATATAAGATACGTTGATAAGAGCCTCGTGTGTATTGAAACAGTTATCTTAGACGGGAGATCTAAGATAATATTAGCATAGTTTGTGATGTACACACCAACTGAGTAATTATTATTGATGTTGATATATTTTGATCTGATTGTTTAAACCTGCTTTCATGTCGAAGCATTTAATTATGGTCATTGGTCAAATTATGCACGATTTTCATCAAAAAATTCAATTTAAAAATGTTCTAATCCAAATAGTTCATCAACAGCCTATAAGTGGCCACTGATGAGCAAAGCCTCTTCCCACATAGCGGTTTGGGCATCAGCACGCTTGCTCAATGCGGGGTTGGCGATTTCAAAACTTATAATTACAAATTATAAGCTTAGTTTTCCTCCATATTATGTTCTCCTGCACAGTTTGTCAGTGGTGTCTAAATAATCTTAGAAAGTATACATAATTCGCAAAAGTCAGATTGATACTTGCCGTTGGTAGCTTTCAAATCTGTACCCTCATGCATGAGAAGCAGGCGTCTTTACCTGTGGGCCACCACGTCACATACCTTTATAGTTAAATTAACCAACCCAGTAACAAATATAAATACGACTGTTGCTGCAGCAGAGAGTAGTAGCAATAGAATAGCAGCGCTACAGTCACCGCGTCGCGGTTCGCGGAATGCTGCTCATGAATATGAGCCTCTAGCATGGCTTGAAACTAGTCGAGTTCCTCTTCAAATAATTACGTGAGTAAGCCGAAAACATAGTAAGTATTCATGCCTTTAGACACTTGAGCGTTTAGTAAATATAATTAAACTGTCAAACACCAAGCGGTCACCGGTGACCGCAACCTATTGTTCTATAATTGTGTCTGCAAAACCGGTACTCGACGAGTTAAAGAACATTTAGCTAATTTAAACTGTTAAAACACCGCGAGGACACCGGTGACCGCAACCCATTGTTCTTTAATTGTGTCTATAATGACGGTACTCGACGAGTTAATGAAATGTAAATCCACTTTCTTGATAGTACGAGATCCATCCTACTAATAATGAAATAAGAAAACGTTCTACACCAATCACAAACCCAAAAACCAAACATAGATAAACAAATACATAGTTTTTACACTACTTGAAAACCCACAAACGTCTACAATCAGTCTGACACCAATCTGAACGGAAAGCCACTAATTTCCTTGCGTTAAATTTCCATAAGAGCTAAGAAGATAAACAGAAAATAAGATTAAAAGATTATGAAGCACTCAGTATGCAGATTACATTAGTACAGACGATAAGTCCGAAGACTTATACCTTCAACGATCGAGTTAAACTAAGCTCCTATAAATGAATTTAATAAACACGTTAAGTATATAACTGTGTCTAATAATACTGTTTGCAAAGAATAAATTACATTAATTGTCACTATCTCTACTCTTCTAGCGGGTGTCGCAATAACCTGCTAAGGGTTTGCACATTTAACATAGACCGAATTTGTCAAGTCTTTTTTTATTTGAGAAAAATCTTGCCCCATACTTAGACAAAGAATTTTCCGTGCGGGTATCGTACCCTGCCACCAACCGTGCAACCAACTCGCGTGTGCCCGCGAGATGGCGCCTTCTGTGTTACCTATTTTTGTAGTAATTTTGCCTGCTTCAGCGATGGCGACATCAAAAATAGGTAAAATAGAAATGTACCAATTCGTGGGCATGCAAGGTTCTTACCCGCGAGTTGACGAATAAGTCCAAAAACCGCGTAGTAGCGATCTCTAAAAAAAGTTTTTTTTTTAAAACCAGTAATACTTTGCCCGACCCGCGATTCGAATCCGAGACACCTTGTCCGGCAGTCGTACTTGCGACCACTCGGCCAACAAGGCAATCATTCCGTAATGTCACGACATGTAAATTCTGTTTTATGCTGATTTCGAAACAGACTACCACATATTTGCATGGCAAAATGCCTATCTGAGTAGCGTTACAGCAAATGCTCGAATTACTTTTTTTAAGGGGGGAAAATCATCGAATGACTGCTCCCGCCTGGGTGAGGCGGGAAGGAGTGTCAGACTCTTACTGACTAAAAACCACCCCGTTCCTTCTCCTGCACATCGAGCTGGAGCCCCAGTTACCCGTTACGTCCTCCGCGACATGCTTAAATGACTTGGAAACATGTTGTTTTGTAGTAACTAGTAACATCTTTTTTAATGCGAGGAGAATAATGTATTTGTTTAATGATTCAATACTTAACTAATATTTCAAATTAATGTAATGGCTATAAATTCTCAATACAAATAAATAATTACATTTTATTTCGACATAGAATTGAAGTAAGAAATTCATCGACAGTTATTGTCTCACCATCACGTTTCCACAACTTCGTACATAGCACTATTAAACACAGAATTCACAGAAATGAAAGTCACTTCGCTTTAGACCAAGTATTTAAACACACAATAATCTCTCACTTCTATTAAAAACAAAAGAACTCACCAATCTTCCTCTAACCTCGTATAATTCACCTTCATATCACATTTACACAAAACCAGCACAATTCTAAACATGAACACACAATATCTCTACCCGACTTTAAAAGAAAACTAGCAAAAGAAATGTACTGCACCCACAGTCCACAACCGACTTAAACATAATACACTTTTCAACAAAAAATCGACTCCTGCGCAGGGAAGCGAAACATCGGACACCGCACCTTTCAAGGGTCAGCTTCGATTTGAAAGTTTCCTATCTCTGTCTAACTTGTAAAGAAGGAAAGAGATGGAAGAGTTCGTGTTCGTATTAAGTATGGACTCATGATGGCTGGTGTTAGGCCGATATGGAGCAGATAAACGGAAATGGGCATTACACGAGGGTACTTGCCAAGTAATGGGCAGAAGGCGGTTATTTTACCAGGATTTTTGCTAAAAAGATGAATAACCTTTGTGTATAGGCCTATGGATCATTAGTACGGCTTCGTAATCCTGGAGTCAGATACTAATACTGTTCTAAAACTCTTTAAAATACTATCCACAGGGCTCATACCATACCACAGATGTCAAAAAAATATAATAGAGACTACTCTATTACTATTTGTATATTATAGTACACTAGTACTATTTAATGTCCGTCTGTTACATTATTTTAAAATATTAGACACGTATTTTTTCTTTCCTCACCAAATTAAATACTTTCGACGATATATTAATTTAACTTTGTATAATACCAAAATGGGGAAAAACTTAACTTTAATACTTTTACTTGACAATTATTTAATGTCTACTACCTACACTGCGAAAAGTGACTGTTTGACTTTTAACTTTTCAAATGCTTTTATTAAACTTGCCATGTCTGCTTAATTTATCCTTAATTATTACTTACTTAAAATAATAACGTTGTTTTAGGGCTTACAAGCGAGTTTGGACGCGGTTGGCTGCACATCGGCGCACGCGCAACAGGTGGCCTGCGCAGGAGTGCCTAGCAGACAGCTGTCGCGATTGTAACGAACTTTTGCATCCATTATGCAAAAAGGTGAAATGGCGAAATTTTGCATACAATATGCATTATTTGAATGGTAAGCGTATTCATAGAGTATTTTATAGGAGTTATTTTCTAATTTTCTATTGTTTAATTTTAATGATAGAAATGGTAGTACCTGCATGGATCGCGCGGTGGCTAGGCAACTAGCTGCCACGCGACGTGTCGTGGGTTCGATTCCCGCACGGAACAACTCTTTGTGTGATCCACAGATTGTTGTTCCGGGTCTGGGTATGTGAACTTGTATGTTTGTAAACGCACCCACGACACAGTAGATAATCCTAGTGTGGGGCAATGTTAATTTAAAAAAAAATGTTTATGAAGTCTCTGAATTACTAAACTTTTTTTTTTATAATACAGTAAAAGAATATAGGATTTGACCAATATATCTTCATAAGTTCCTTTTTAGAATCGGTTAAAATTCGTATCAAACTAACGAAGTTTGTCTCAAATCTTATAACATTTATTTTATCAAAGCAACAGCAAAGTTCACAGCTTTAATTGAATTCTTGTGTAAATTTCGAATGAAAATGAAATCTAGATTGAATCAATTTTTGTGTCTGGCACTTTGAAAGACTTCCAATATTCCATTCGATATTTAAAATGTGATTTTGAGTTAATGGTTTAGAAAAATGATGTATCATATCGTAAAATAGATTAAAGGCCAGAATTGATGGAATTAACTTTTGTATTTATGGCAGTCTAACATCATAAGAGGCAGCAGACTGGAAGACGAATCAGTTATTTTCATGGACATTATAAGATCGAGGTTAAACGGCTAGTCGTATTACTAACTGGCAAGTGAACAGCGCCACCCATGAACACCAACATCAGAGCAGGTAAGAATGAAAGAAAAATCATTTATTTCCCACTGACTGAGGAACAACTTTCGAGACGGGAAGGAGTGCCTCATTGGCTGAATGGTCGCAAGTGCGATTGCCGGGCAAGGGGCCTCAGGTCCGATTCCCGGGACGGGCAAAGTACAGTAATACTTTCTCAAAATTCGGTTGTTAAAAAAATCTCAGTTGTAGCACGGAGTCGAAGTGGAATAGCGCCCAGTATATGGCAATAGGCTCATCCCCTATTACATGGGACTCATAATTTAAATAGTGAATAGTGCGTGTTACATTATATAGTGGCCCTCTGCCTACCCCTTGGGGATAAAAGGCGTGATGTTATATATGATAATATGAATGCTAATAAGGATAATATGAATAACTTTCAATATAGTCAATTGTCAATTTTATTCTACAATTAATAATTAACTGACGATTGAAATCGACCCTAAAACAAGTCAAATATTGATTGATTATCCCTATGGATAATATACGTGTCCCAAGTCTGCGGCAAAATGGGATCAGTTCAGCACGTGAAAGACAGTGCCTTGCTCTGTGGTATTCTACTGGCCCCTTCAGTTAGTCGTGGATGAAAAAGTCACCAATTAAACAGTTAAAAGTTCGTTTGACAGGAGAGGCTGAAAACGCAACGCAAGTGTTGCCCTGTCAACTCTATCATAATCACTCCAGTCGAGGTCGAGGTGGCACATACGCTTCTCAAGCTCTCAGCTTAGGTCTTCCACAGAGAACAGAGGCCTTAGTACGAGTTTGATTTACGTTTAAACTATTCGAAAAGAGTACGCGTTCTGCGCTGTGATTGGTTGGTTAATTCGTACTAAGGCCTCTGACTGAACATAAAAGCACCAGGACAGAAAAGTTTAGTTTATTCAGAAGATATCATTAAATAATTAGGATCCCTAATAGCTCTGCACTTCCCTATGGTTGACTGTAAGGGCCGCTAAGGTGGCGGGACCTGCCGCAAACATAGCGGTAGGTCGAGGCCTGCCGGGTGTGGTGATTCCGTAAGGGCAACCCGGGTCACGGTCACAGGCAGTGAAGGAACACCGCGGTGGTTTTAGCCGGTATGAGTCCGGCACGCCCCCTCGTCGTCCCCACGGCGCGGGAAGTCCATGAGGATTTCCATCGCGATAGAAAAAAAAAAAAAAAAAAAAGAAAAGGCATTAAGTCCGCCATTCACTGATGTATTTTGTGAAGAAGAAATAAATAAATAAATAAATAAAATAATAGTTATATTGCCTAAAATAACATAAAATCTACGTTCAATGGTATTGATTGCGAATATTAATAGCTGTAAATTAGATACCGACTTTCCGTTCCAGTTACTCAGTTATTGTTACTCTTGAGACTTCAGCGAATTACAAGATTATACGAAAACCATTTAGTAATATCACCCTTCAGAAATTGTAAAGGACAGCTTCGGAAATATCTATTTTAAAATGTTAAATGTTTCTTATTTTCATAAAATTGACATAAACGCCAAATATTCTCAGTTTAAAATTCAACCTTAAACTGTCATACACCAAGCGGTCACCGGTGACCGCAACCTATTGTTCTATAATTGTGTCTGTAATGACGGTACTCGACGAGTTAATTCAAAACTTTAAGGTACATAATCAAGTAGTTTGGAGGTTGAATGCAAATATAGGGTTGCCAGTTGTCGTTTTTCCCACAAAATGGAAATTTCCCCTTATAGTAAAATGGCGATCGATGTAATTATGCAGGGGTTGGATATTGGAAATAATGATAGGTGTTTAGCTTGAACTGATGAACATTGTAAACTGAATTATGAAAATCATAATCTTTTGTTATGACCTGATAAAGGTGGTTAAAATTTTATACTCCTTCAGTTACCAATAAATATACATTATTTAGGTATATATGTATAATCTTTGGACTTAATAAATAAGATTGAAATTGACTTGAGAAACTCCAAACGTCTTACATGGGTACATTTTAAAATGCAATACTACTACAATGGAACCCATTCATAACTTCGAATCAAACCTGTAACTCCACATGCAACAAGCAAGGTAGCCTGAGACAGTCTAAAAGTAGATACAATTCGTAACCAATTTTAAAATACAATAAATATACAAAATAATATTAAGTGCAATTAAACTGACAAACACCGCGAGGACACCGGTGACCGCAACCTATTGTTCTTTAATTGTGTCTATAATGACGGTACTCAACGAGTTAAACAACATACTGCTATTAAATCCACAATTTAAAGTTAAGTTAAGTTTAAGTTAAATAATTAACAAGCAACAAGAAAGGTAATGTAACCAAAACATGTCCACAGCAGTCACAAACAGCTGCAAGTCAGCAAACACACAAACAGCGCCGGCGCCGCCGGAAGTCAGCTGACACAAGTTGCGACTTCCGGCGCCGTATGATAACAGGAGAGTGTGTGCACTGTTATCGTGTTACTATCTGTGGTGAAATGCAAGTTGTTCGTGTATGTAGGGAAAATATAAACATAACTTAACATCACGCCTTTTATACCCGAAGGGGTAGCCAGAGGTGTACAATGCGGCTCTTAATGCCACTGTACAATACAATACCCACTTTTCACTATTTATGTTATGAGTCACATGTAATTGGAGGTGAGCCTATAGTCATATACCAGCCTCTGCGCTACTATTGAGATTTAAAAAAAAACACACCAGTAAATATATTGTAGTTAAGTGTAATAAAAACAATTAATATAACAAACACAGACTCCATGCCAGATGTTCTGTCTAGACAATTATTTGCCAAATTGGAAATTATAGTTTCAATTAGCTTGATTAGCCACGGGATCACAGCAGAGATGAACCTTAAAAAGCTCTTATATTATTTGAAGTAATCCTCTAATTTTCGTATTTGCTCAATTCAGAGTTTCAGAGAGGTTCAGAGAGAGTTTCAGAGGCAGATAGAGGATAAAAGACGTGATGTTACAATATATTTTTATTGACATTACATTAGTGGTCAGTTAAATATATAGATATACCGAACATAATTGAATTAGTAGATGACCATTTCAACTTGAATTCATTTAAGCACATCTTAATGTATCTCTTACATTACTTACATACACTTCTGCTTACCCTCTTTGTAACACAAGCGTGGTATTCAAAAAAGAACTTTATTAAGCAAGGGAATTGTAAACATTTTTGTGCTTACCCAACTCCTCGGAGACACGAAGAGGCTTTAAGTTCCACAACTTCCAAAGCACGAACCAAGTTCAGTGATTAAATAAACAATTTGAATACTTCATTACAATGTTAATTCTCATCTCTTTTGGCAACATCATCGACCCATTAAAATACTTAAGCTTTATGTTTTTA